TCAAAGTGAAACTTTAGTAAGTATATGTGGTCCAAAATGCAAATTACTACTCAATAATAAAAGCAGTAGTATGCTACTGGCTGCTGGCTGGTGCTGGTTGAAAAGCCATTTGCAATGCTTACCAGAAACCGCAGGTTGAAACCCTTGAAGCTTCATCAACGATCATATATGCTGGGCAGGAGGAACTTGCTGGATCACAACGCGGCACAGGGTGGTTGCTCCCAGCCTCCCAGGTTTAATTTGAGCATATCTTAGTTTTCTCATGCAGGTATATCAATATGCAGCAAAGCTTAACTATCGATTCATTGAAAAGAGATAGGTCACCTGTGAATCACCTGTGAACTGACTCACTGCCCCTAGTTCGTACCAGAAGAGAAACATATGTTACAATCAAAGAAAGACATGTTAATTTTGCAACACCTCCCTGCGCTCTTTATATATTTCGTTCCCCAGTGCTGGAATGCTACCATCCAGGCATTAGCTTGGGAGAGACAACCACTCAACATACAACATACGCTCCTTCTCACAGTTATATCAAAGGTAGCAGTGATAAATAAAAGCCTAGCAGTAAACAAAACCTCGCTCCAGATATACACGCCTTATTACTATTGTATCACTTGTACAAACGTTTTGGCAATAGTTGGACAACAAAAATATTTTTCACAGAACTGTTCAAATTAGAACTGAACTAAGAATCACATTTTCTATCATGCACATGTGGAAGCTAGTTTTAGTTCTAATTAACAAATAAACAGAGGAACAGAAGGCAGAACCGCAGGAGAGCACAACTGCACAAGGCACAACTAGATAATTGCCGACAGAGATACAATAATGTCAGAATCAACCAATAAAACCAGGTCCTTCAGGATTGCATCACTTGGAAGTTTGAAACCTGACCTCTGAACTATATATATATGTATCTCTTGGTGGATAGCCTCTTTTGGTAAGCTTCTTTCACTCTTCATGAGCTCGTCTTACCTGAGGAGTATCATCTTGCCCAGTAAAGTATATCATGACACCAAGAAGAGCGAAGACACATATAAGAATGTATAGCGAGTTCAGGCTGACAAGAGAGTTCAGGAAACCCATGAAAGATGGGCCACTGACTTTCTTCTTTGTTGTTCTTCCTGCTCTATATCCCTCAAGGAATTGGCTTATTTGAGAAGCTTGATCACCTTCCTCTAACTTCTCTGAGCCTTCCACCTTTGGCAGAAAACATTTTTGGTTAATTACAGGGTGTAACAAGTTCTCTATTAGTGCTAACCAGCCAAGCAGAAAAAGATGTTTCAGAAAAGATTATAAGTAGACAGGAAAAAACTAAAAACTAAACATAATACTTCTATGAATATGACAGAAAAAATATGAGCATGCCATGAATATGCATTAACTCGAAAGGTGGCTTTATCAGTAAAATAGCACAGGAAGGGGTTGCTGATGCTGGTGCAGGCATGGATTTCTAAGGTTCTCTACAATTATACTTACCACTTCATACTCCTCATTTCTATCCCAGACGATTAGCTTTGGCAGCTGTGAGCTCTTGGAAATATCAAAAGTCTCGACAAACTCATCCCATTGTTTGATTCCGACATACCCAAACACCAAGTCACGGTTTGCATTGGCAGCAGACCTCAAAACTTTTACCAACTGTGAAGAAGTTTCATCTGAATCATCCTCCAAAATTGCAAGAACAACTTTTCTGTCATCATCATCCAACATTTTGAGTGTCTCTGTGTTGATGGGGACAGTCAAAGGAAGCAGGGATTGCCGTATAAAATCTTCCAAGAAACTTCCTGTGTGCACAAGAAAAAAGAATTACTACCACATATTTGCTACCAAGAAATTCATGGGTGAAATAGTATGAACAATTGCAGGTAGCTACAATTAATCACCCTTTGTTGACATAAGAACTCAGAAATAATGTGATAGTTTGAATTACTTCATATTAGCATCAAGAAAAATATAAATATATAATAATAAACACAAGAAAAGAGTAAAAAAATAGAGTTGCCTAATAAATACCTTCAAATGGGCCATAAAATACACTTTGTTCTTTGTACTTTGGATGAAGTGAAACCAATGCAGGAACCTTATCAAAATCATAAGTGACCATGAAGTCCTCAGAAAAATCTTTTGCAACAGCAAACCATGCTCTTTTCTTGTATTTCCCTCCATAACCAGCAATCAACGACTCATTCACCCCAAACCCAATGAACATTGGAAAGCTCGTGCCAGCATTCTCAACAAAGCTCTTGATCGCAGAGTCCGACTCAAGAATAGAAACATCAGGTGCAACAAACTTATTAAGATTGCGGACAAGCAAGTCAGCTTTTCTTGAACCAGTGTATTCGATGGGGACCCCGTGGATAAAAAGCATCAGTGTAGGGAACCCGCTGTATTCAGTAAAAAGGAAAGGAATATTAGGCATCCACCGGCATCTATACTGTCAAGAAAAATTGAACTAGTTATGAGGGAAACATCTTACTCCACTCCATATTTCGATCCAAGCTTCCTGTACTTGTCAGCATTTACTTTGGCAACTATGATGGGCTCACTCAGTCCTGCCAACACCGGTGCAGCTTCATCTAACTGCAACAGTTTATTTTCTCAATCTTAAGTCCTAGTATAAAACAGTATAATCCACAGAAAGTTCCCTGCTGCCATAAGTAGTAAGCAAACTGTAAAATTCGAGAACCTAGTAATGGCCAAGAATGAAACATCTTGATGCGTCTACAAGACAATATGATGATTCTCACGCGACCACGCCCACAAGCCCACAATAATACAAGGACTTGTCTCTCTACCTTTTCACAGTAAAAAAAAAAGCTCACAACAATTTCCTTTCTTGAGTTCTTCCCCAGAGTAATCTCGATCATAATCAAAACGACGGCATATAACATCTCATTTGTTGTCTAATGGTCAACATAAGAATCATAGTGACAATCCTAAAACTATATAATAAAAAAAATTATCATCCTTTACCCTTTCCCCCACACGCCCTAATCTGCAGTTCATGAGATCTCATCTCGCCGACCAATTACGATCCCGGATACCTAGTCAAACCCACCACCCCCACAACACTCGCTGCGGTGCTGACGAGATCCACAGCGGGCGGCAACCACAGCTCGCAACAGTTGTTCACTCAATTCGCATCGCATCACATCTCGCAACTTCTCCGCACGAGTTCTTGATACTGGTAACAAGCAAACACAGGTGGTGCTGGTGGTCGAGGAGAGGGGAGTACCTCGGGGGCGAGGCGCTTGCAGTGGCCGCACCATGGCGCGTAGAAGTCGACGAAGAGGTAGTCGATGGCGCCCAGCGCCGCCTCGAAGCTGCTCTCGTCCAGCTCTATCACCCGCCCGTCGCGCGGGAACTCCTCGGCGGCGGCGGCGGCGGCGGCGTGGAAGGAGAGCAGCAGGAGGAGGAGAGGAGGCAGAAGCAGCAGGAGGAGGAGGGGGAGGGGTCTCGTCGTCGTCGCCGCCATCGCCGCCGATTCCGATCTCCGCCGCGCCGGAAGGGAGTGGTCCTGACGCCCACGGAACTTGACTAGTCTCTTGATGGATTGGAGGGGTTTATTGGGATATTTTCGTATTGGCCCCTCTACAGTAGAAACGTGTACATTTTGCTACCTACATTAGGGGTCTCATCGTTTGGCTTTTTTTCATAATAAGCTAAAACGGTTTATTAGAGAATAAAAATGAATTTGTTGGTAAAATTTTTATATATGTGTTCTCGGTGACTTAAAAACCAATGCTGAAAAAAAACTACGTTGAAAATATCTCAAAATCAATATCAAAATTAAGTTTAAAAATTCAAATTTTGGCTTTTTCTTTGGCTGAATAGGCCATCCGATGGAAGCCTAGGATTAGATGATGTGAAAGTTAACCTTTGTTAATTAATTTGGAGCGAGTTGCGTTTCGAGCCTTTTATCACCAAACTTTCACTTTAGAGTAAGAATAAAAGTGAGCTATAACTATATAAATTTATGTGAAAGTAAAAGATAAAGAAAAAACGAGAAGTATTGGATCTTGAGTAATAGCTAGCTATACATTTGCTTCAAGACATTTACATTAAATATATAGTTAGAGAAAGAGATGATAGAAAAAATATAGTCAAATCTATTATACATTTTAGTTTTAGTATGAGCTAATAGCTACTAGTAACAGTTAGCTATACTATTAAACTCGCTCTTAAATCATCCTTTAGCCAATCTTTGTTTCGCATTTATTGTACTCTGGAGCACATAAGTGAATCACCCGTACACCGACAATCTTTCAGGCTTACGTGTAGACCATCATTTGTAAGGTGAGATAGTAGATGCACTAAAGATGGGATTAGAAGTAAAACTTCGATAACAAAGAGGTGGACCAAAGTGAAATCTACTAAATCTGTTTACACGAATTTTACAGGTCTTTTAAATAGAAATTAGTCCATTTGCTCCAATATTCCTCCGTAAGATCGTATAAAGGAGGGCAAACGTACTTGATTTAGCAAATTGTACCGGCTAACACTCGTCCTTTGACTAATTATTTTGTTACCTTGTACCCGTCAACATTATTTGACGTTTGGAGTATTAAGATTAGTACTGCCTTCAACGTCAAATATTATTGACTGAAGGGAGTATATAATCCCGTATGTGAATTCTAGCTGACGTACTGATTTGAGTCCAAAAACATGTGTGACCTCCAACATTTCCGACAGATTGGCAGATTGCACATCTCTACAAATAATCTGAAAACTAAAAAAGAATATGACCAACATCTTCTGAAAAGAATGGACTCGTGAAGCTCTGAAAAGCACGAACCCGTGAAGATAATACTGTTGCAGGAAAGAACGGTAAGTACAGCTTTTCAGAAATTTCCAGCAACAACCCATCAAGCAGAACCATGATATAGATGGGCAGTGCAACTAAAATACAATCGTGGTTAGCATATTCAAGAACTCAGGTTCCGCTTCCATGTATAATATCCACATCAGCAAAAGAAAACTTGAAAGGCGAGGTGTAAACAAGTAGTAAACATGAATTCCAACTATCAATTTCAATCACAATAAGAAATAAAAAAAAATATGAGTTAAAACAACTGTGATCACGCTGCCTGGTTTCTCCACAGCCAGGAAAGTTCATGCCATGATATTATTAACAGAAAATAGCAGTATTCCTACATCAAACGCCATGAAAAGGAGCTTACAACTTCAGGCAAGTGCAAAATGGAGTAACAAGCAATAACCAATTTAAAGTGAAGTCCCAATTTTAACTTCGCGGAGTGCTATAGAAAGTAAGTTCATTATGTAGCACTTAGAGAGCTTATCCGGAGGCGGTCTTCTTCTGCTGGAAAACAACCGCATAAACTGGGACTGCGATGCCAATGCCAACTGCTCCCAGCACGGAAAGATACACCTTCGGCTTCTGGTGCTTCATCCTGTGCAAGTTGTACATGTGCTTGGCATGGAGGTAGTAGGGCTCATCATGGCCATGCCCTCCCATCCTCTTCACACCAGTGGCATGGAATCCACGAGAATCTGTTATATGCACAGAGAAGAGAATTCAGCAATCAGAAGTGAACTAAAATAGTAGAGTTCACAATTTGATGATACAGGAACAAGCCAAACATCTCGAAGGCAAATACACATCCAAACCAATAACTATATTTGAAGATACTACTAAACAATAAAAAAAGAACAAGCCAAACATCAAAGATATATTTGATGATACTACTAAACATTAAAAAGAAGAACAAGCCAAACATCTGAAACGCAAATACACATCCAATCCAATAGCCAACAATTCCAGGTCTCCACTCTTCCCCCATCCAAGCTACTCTGATTATCTCTAAGATTCGCTAGAATGCACCATAGATACATATAGCATGACAAGATGGACACGTATTTCGACCCTTGGCAGAAAACCATTAGTAATACTGCTCATCATTAACATCACAGACAAATAAACTAGTTAAAAAACGGCAGCGAGCAGGTGACTAGACATTTTGTGAGAAAAACAGGTTATTTGCACAATACTCTCCTCTGCACAGATGAAACCAGGGCAACCAAAACGAGAAATTGGACATTCTGCCATTGCCAAAACTAGGTTTTGCCAAAATGCCACTCCGCAAAAGGGATTCGTTAAAATGCCAATCTCAACCCGTGGCTACAAGCTACAATGCTATACGGGACCAAATTACCCTCGTTCTCCTCGCCTGGGCATGTGGAGCTGCTTGCTGTTGGGTCAGTCCATGGCACGGAGCAGCGAGGACGTCGCTGGCACAGCGGCTTTCGGCGAACGACAGTGACGGTGGCGTTCGGCGAGCGGCGGCACCGGCAGGAGGCGGCGGAGGCGAACGCGCCGCCGCCACCGCCTGACGTACGCGCGCCGCCGCCGCCGCTGCCGTCCGACGCACACGCGCACCGCCGCAGCCAGCAACGCACGCGCACGTCACCGCCGCCGCCCGACGCACAGAATTTGGACATCAGAATTTCATCACAGTTCACAAGATGGCCATCCGTTTGATCATTTCACAGTGACGGCATATCGCAGATTCACATTCCACCGGCCTACGGTCGATTCAGTCACCACAGGCTAGCCCAAAAATCAACCACCAACATGGTCCATCGCGGGATTCATCCAAACGAGAATGATGTAGCGATTGATCTAATAAACGCCTACGCAAACCAAATCACAGCGGCCCAAGATCCATCAGCCCTAGAAACATTTCGATCGCCAAACCCCCGATTCGCTTTTCCAGGAGTCGCGGATCTACCGTCCAACGCATCCAAACCACCACCCGAACAAAGAGAAACGGGAACATATGCATCCATCGAGGCGAATCGCTCGCCGCCCGGCGCCGAAACCCTAACCAGGCCGCCTCGCGCGGTCAACGCGACGCAGCTCGAGGGGATTGGGGAGGAGAAGGGAGGGGTAGGGAGCGCTTGCCTGTCTTGGAGGCCTCAGCGCCGGTGGCGAGGAGGCGGATCCCGGAGCGGAGGCCGCGGTTGAGCGCCGTCGCCGTCGCCATCGCCCCCTCTCTGGTTTCGCTCGTGTTCTCGCCTTAGGTCGCCCCCGCCGCCGCCGGTCTGGTGGTTTGGGTTGGGGTTGGGTGCCGCGGTTTCGCTGATCTTGGCTCCACTACCGGTTAGGTCAATCTCACCACTCCCGAGAGATGCGGGGGGAGTGTGAGTGGGCTTCGTACCTTGGGCCCCAGCGCTGTAACATGGGCCGTGTGGGCCTCCATGGGCCTGAAAATAAAAGAAGAAAGGAAAACAAACCAGACGAGTTGAAAGGCTTCCTTTCCTTCCTTCTCTTCCTCCTCGTCTGCTCCATGCTTCCAGCACATTGCAATTTCAGTTCTTTTCACTGCACACTTCAATTCTGCCAAGTGCCAAGAACCAAATGTTTGAAGCCATATATGCCATGGAACGATCACACTTGACACACTGACACTGATACCTTGAGAGTTCCTTTTTGAGTTTTGATAACCCAGAACGATCAGGTTGCCTCCTCTATCATGACGGAGATGCTATCAACCTCCTGGCATATCTGCTCGATCAGAGGGTGATTGCTGTCGTTTGAAGAGAATGTGACGACCTCCCCCTTCAGCTCGATCCAGCTACACCCGGTCTCCTTCTTCAGCCCTCGTTCCTTCATGAACCCTCTGACGCTGGCAGCGCTGCTCCACATCTCTTTGGCGGCATATATGTTCGACAGGAGTGTGTACATTCCTCCGTCGGAGGGTCTAGCCTTCAGGACATTTCTGGCAATGATCTCTCCAAGCTGGATTTCCCCATGAGAGTTGCACACGCTAAACAGCGTCTCCCACGCGGTCGTTCGATGGTCAGATGGGATTCTCCTGGTAAAATCATAAGCCTGGTGTATAAAGCCTGATCTTCCCAAGAGATCAACCATGCAGGAGTAGTGATCAGATCTTGGGACCAAGTTCCAGTCTTCTTGCATGCTGCGAAAATGGTAGCAGCCTTCATATAGGTACCCCTTATGTGCGCAAGCAGACAATATGCTTAGGAAGGTCGCATGATCTGGTCTAAATCCAGCTTTTGTCATCATGTCAAAAACTTTCAAAGCTTCATCAGCAAGACCATGATAAGCGTATGTTGCGATCATGGCATTCCATGTCACTGTGTCCCGCTGCAAAATCAGCTCGAAAACTTGGGAAGCTTCACTGATTAGCCCACATTTTGAGTACATTGATATCAATGAGCTCATCACCAAAGCATCATGCTCAAAGCCAGTTTTGATTGCCCAGAGGTGTACCATTTTTCCACATCCAAGGGAAACGAGAGATGCACATATGGAAATAACAACGCTCAAGGTGGCTTGGTCAGGTTTGAGTCCTCCGCGGATCATTTCTGACAGCAAAGATAGTGCTCCTTCATCTTTGTACCCAGAGATCAATGTGTTCCATGAGATCGCATCCTTGTTTGGCGCTCTTCGAAACCAGGCATTTGCACTATCCATGTCCCCTTGTTGAACATATCCTTGCAAGATCGCATTCCACGATATCTGATCCCTGTCTGGCATCTCAGAGAACAACTTCAAAGCATCATCCAACCTATCATTCCGCACAAAACCATCCATCATCGTGTTCCAAGCAACAGTATCACGATGCGGCATGTCTTTGAACACCTTCCATGCAGCATCGACAGATCCGTTCTGCAAATACCCACGCATAATAGCAGTCCTAGATAGAACGTCCTTCTCAGGCATCTCATCAAACAGACGCTGCGCGATCCCCATACTGCCAGCTCGTGCATAGCCTGTGATCATAACATTCCAAGAAACAGGGTTCCTTGTCTGCATCTGGCCAAACAGCACCTCCGCAGCCCTCATGTAACCAAGTTCAACATAGCCTGACAGCAATGCATTGCACACAGAAGTCGGAGGTGATGGCATGCTGTCAAAGAGCTCCCTAGCTTCGCGGACATGCTTCCTCTTGATATAACCAGAGATCATCGTCAGCCACGACACATCGTCCCTCCATGGCATCATGTCGAATAACTCGCGTGCCCTCTTGACCATCCCGTTGCGCGCATACCCTGACACCATCGCGTTCCAGGAAACAACATTCCTGTCAGGTATCCGGTTGAAGAGCTCCCTGGCCTCGGCGACCCTACCGCAGCGGGCGTAGCCGGTCAAGAGCGCGGCCCACGAGACAGAGTTCCTCACGGGCATTGCATCGAACACCTTGCGGGCTTCCGCGAGCATCCGGTTCCTGATGAGCCCAGAGACCATGCAGTTCCAGGTGAACACGTTCCGTTCCGACATTTCGTCGAACACCCGGCGCGCGGCGGCTACCCTGCCCGCGCGGAAGTGCTCGTTGATGGCGGTATTCGACTGGAAGACGTCGCCGGCAGCATGTCGCTGCGGCGGCCCGAGGCTGCAGAAGCGGCGGAGAAGAAGGCAGCGGAACGGGCGCAGAAGGTTCTGGATGGCTCCCACCATCGTACTCAGGAGGGATCCGAAGGGAGAGATCGATGCGTGGCCGCGACCGCACGCAGAGACACCATCAGGCGGTGGGTGGGGGGACGTTGCTCTGCCTGTGCGCGTGCGCTGCGGGCAGAGAGCTCCACCAGGCGGGCGCCACGGGACGCCGCGCGAAGTCGCCGATTAGCTCCCCGCCGCCCGCGCCGCCATCGATAGCTTCACCGAGCCGGCCGCCACGAGAGGAGGGAGGAGGGAGGGGAGGTGAAGGGGGAGGCCGAGAGAGCCGCGGCGCGGGAAGCCGTAAGATAAATGAGAACAAAAACCGGTTTCGGTAAAATGCCATCGTTAAAAATAGGATTCACTCGAATACCGTTAAAAATAGAATTCGTTTGAATGCACACTATCAAGGCTGTGGGTATTCGCTACAATGCTATTTTCGTTGTTTCTTGAATTTGTAAAACATTTGTAAAATTTGTTAATCCAATGCAAGTTTGGTGAACTGTACTATTTGTATTATTTGTCTTTTTTATATCTCGATGTATATGTTAAGATTGAACCTAAAATTTTATGAAAATGGTATATAAATATGGTATAAATGTTGTCAATTTTTTTTTGAAATTCTCATATCTATTTGGATAGTTTTTAAACAAACGAGGAAATGTCCCCTCGAAAGATCGCCTGCGAAATAGCAAAGGCGGAAATAGTTTCCCTAATATCATCGTGTTCCAAGAAACATCATTCCTTTCAGGCATGAGCTCCCTGGCCTCAGCGACCCTACCGCAACAAGCGTAGCCGGTGAAGAGTGCAGCCCATGAGACATAGTTCCTCACCGGTATTGCGTCGAACACCATGCAGGCTTCAGCAAGCATTCGGTTCCTGATGAGTCCAGTTTAGGGTTCACTAAACCATTTTGGGTGGCGTTACCGATATCCCACGGTAAAGCGGTTATTGCGGTAAGCCGCAAGGTTACTGTAAAAACTGTGTGGCTACCGCGAGGATTACCGTGGTTTTAAGAACTGAGAAGGTTATCGCACGACATACATGTTAACCATGTTATAAAGCCTCCAAAGACCGTGCAGTTCCATGTGAACACGTTCCGTTCCGACATTTCATCGAATACTCGGCGTGCGGTGACAACTTTGCCCGTGCGGTACTCTTTGATGGTGGTATTCAATCGGAAAACTTTGCTGGCATGTCATTGCGGAGGCGGTGGCTTAGGCCCGAGATAGTAGAAGTAGTGGAGTAGACTGGAAATTTCGTGACGTCTGCAACGGAATGGTTGCGAAGGTTCTGGATGGTTCCCACCATCATGCCCATGAGCGTTTCGAAGGGAGAGATGCGCGTCCGCAAGCAGAGACACCATCAGGCATGCGGAGCTGTGTGGTTGTGCCGACACGACCGCCGCCCACCACTGATAGGTTCTAGAAAGCCGGCGTACCTTGGTCTGCAGCAACATGCCATCCTTCGAGGCCTTGGGGGGGGGGGGGAGGACAGCGGAGGGGGAAAGAGGTCGGCGCCAGGGCCGACGGGTAAAGGAGGCGAGGGTGAGGGCGAGAAGAGGGAGGTGGAGGGGAACAGTTGCGGTGTCGTGAGAAAGTCTGACGAGGTGTTGTAGAGAACAATAGGATCACAAACTGCAAAGAGCTACTCCCTCCATCCCAAAACCTATGCTCCTTATAAAAATGCTTCCAACCTTTTATAGACAAAGAAAGATACGTAGGACTAGAGAGCCCATATGACAATCACTCCCAATAACTCTCTATTGTTTTTAGAAAAAAGATATAACAATGTAGAGCCAACGGATCCACATGTCAATAGCAATATGTACGATAATTACGAGATAATAATATAATTTTCTTTAATTCAAATTTTGTTATGACACATATACAATATGCTAATATAACAAGTTTTAGTTATGTATCTAGACAAACACATGTCCAGATACATAGCTAATTGCTATATTTTAAGATGGAGGTAGTAGTATATATTCTATGAACATGTTTTGTTAGACATGAACATGTTTGTTAGTGATGGGACCAATACAATTTTGTACCAAAGCTTACTATATATCTTATCACCCCCATGTAATAATTTCTTTCAACTCCTATTATTACCATTTACATAGTATCTTGCCACAGACTAACAAGGTATATAGAACTAGTTATGCTTTTAGGCCACTTGAGATCAGCTATCTACGGGTGTTGCAACAAACTTGGCAATTACATCTTTCAAAATAGAAGGGTAACTTTTGCTCAAATTCTCGACTCCCTCTGCCTGCACAATCAATCTCAGTTTCACCGGGTCATCAAGAAAACGCAGGCACTTCTCCTTAAGGCCATTGCACTGGTGCTCCCCCGCAAATGCAAGCATGGCAACAACCGTTCTCCCGTTCACGTACTCGCATAGCTTGTGTTCGCACACCAGCCTTAGCCTCTCCATCTTGTACCTGTTCGCCGCCGCGACAAGGTCTGGGAGCATCGCCGCCGCCTCTCCTCCTTTCATCTCCGGCAGCGAGTCGGTGTACATGTAGTGGAGCAGAGCCTCAAAGTCCTGCACCTTCATAGCATCGATATTGACGCGCACTACATCATCGGCGCCACCGGTCGTGGCGCCGAAGAGCGCCACACGGAACACTGGAGACCGGGCCGCGAGCACCCACCTGCAGGGATTGAAAATTTGGTAATTTCGGACCCCGACAAGTCAATATCACGGTCGCAATTTTTGGTTTTTCTCAAATATTTGTGAATTTTAGTCAAATTCAATTAAATTGTGTCAAGATTTCAGAAAATTTCAGTCCAAAAAATGTGGGTTCTACTGAAATGGCCGAAATTTTAGCTGAAATCGAAATTGAAAACCCCTGCCCACCTGTGTGCCGCGAACGTCTTGCCCTCGACCTCGAACGTCACGTCGGCGCCCTCTCCGGTGGCGAGGAGACCTCCGAGGTGCCGGTGCAGGTCAGATGGCGGGACCACCACTGTAGGAGGCGACTGCGGCGGTGGCATCGCGTCATCAACGTCGATGTCCTCGGTCCGCAAGTCCTTGAAGACGGTGAAGTCACACACGATCGTGAGGCAGTCGTCTCTGAGATACTCCGACGATTCCAGAAGCCCCCTTTCGATGTAAGTCCGGTAACCCCAACCGGTGTTGAGGAAGACGTCCGCCTTGCCACTACTCCTGGAGTACGACGGCTTCCTGGCACGGTCGAGCAAGCTGAACTTGTACTGCGCTTTCACGCCTTTCATGACATTGTAGTCGAGCTGGAGGAAGATGGAGATGCACTCGGCGCAGTCCGAGTTGAAGCCGTTGGGGTAGTAGCGCAGGTGCCAGCTATGGCCTCCGGCGCGGAAAGATCGAGACTTGATGTCACTGCCGGTGGGCAGCTCGTCCTTGATGCGGGAGTAGCCGTCGATCTTGAGATGGTGCTGGCCGCTCTCCGTGCCGGCTATGACGGCGGAGGCAGACCGCACCGGTGTGCGGCTGCCGGTGGCGGTTGGCATAGCTATGGAAATTGGTGATTCTTTTCCACCTGATTATTTGTGATCGCTATAGTGCACTTTGCTGCCACGATTCTTGCTGTTAAAGGCTGCAAATATGTGAGGAATGGAGAAATTGGTAAGGATGACAGACTTAATTATACGAGAAATTTTATGATCCTTAAGAGATACCAAGAGATAGCAAATTAGTACCTCATAGCATCGGAAGTATCGAAAGGTACAAAATTTTATACTAGAAAATATGGTATCTTTCATTACCTCTCAAGAGCTGTAAAATCACTTTAATTATATCTAGTTAGACCTCGTTAGTATATGGTGACAAATATTGTCTATGCAGTACAATATTTGGTCATAACCAACAAGGCGATATGGAGTCAGCGTTTGATCGAAATATTGGGCTAGTTGGAACTTAAAAACCCCTCCGTTTCAGGTTATAAAACGTTTTGACTTTGGTTAAAGTCAAACTATTCTAAGTTTGACTATTTTTGTAGAAAAAAATAGTAATATTTTTAACCCAAGACTAATATATTATGAAAATTTATTCAATTATAGATTTAATGAAACTATGCTGGTGTTGTAAATATTACTACTTTTTTCTAGAGAGTTAGTCAAACTTAGAGTAGTTTGACTTTGACTAAAGACAAAACGTTTTATAACCTGCAACGGAGGGAGTAGTATTATACTTTTTCCGTCTCTTACAAAAGAAACATCGTACGAAAGTTCTTTCAAATATGAATCTAATGATATCACATGCATAACATTAAACATGCATATATTGATATTTAGAACCAATGTGTTTTGAGCAAATGACCGTTTAAATTGAATAATGAGGATGAAGTAGTCTTCTTATGAATAAGTATATTAAGTATCAAACTATTGCTTAAGTGGTGAAAAACATGAAAATTCTCATTTTTGGAGTGGTCACATGGAAGTTAAAAGAAATATTGTATCTATGGATATCTTTATTCTAAATAATTAACCATGGTCATGTTGAGAGGAACAAGGACATTAAGTTGAAAATGCCACTTAAGATTAAGATTTTAAGTGATATTGGTATAAAGGAGTGGCTCTAATTAAGAGTAATTTAGGAAGACCAAATTGAAATGGTAGTATAAAATACAGTTTCTGTATACACAATGAAACTATTCATTATTTTTTTTAATATCATTTTACTAAGTTTCTTTGAAGAGATGTTTATGTGTCTTTTGGCATAGTTCCATCCAATTGTATTTCTCGTATGTTTGGATTGGCTTATGGGGGTAGATACTAAAATAAAATAAAAATACAAGTTCTAGTAAGGGCATTGAATTGTGTTAGGCTCTGATATAGTACGAATTATGTTTGTTTTTGACAAGGCTCCAATTATAATATTACATGCAGGTACTCTATAGGGCAACATACTAGTTTCAACATTGGGCTCTATTGCAAAGGTTTTAGGAGGACAAGGATTTCACTTGATATGCTTGCTGGAGTTTAGAGATAATAATCATGTAGATTTATGTCAACTATGAATCGAGATTTAGCAATAGAATTTTCTTTTTGATTATGTTATTCCTCTATGTATGTTGGAGTGTCCGTGGTTTTTTGTCACCTAGCGAATTTCTTATATTGGTAGTTTGGTAGTCTATGAGCATGTAAACCATTCTCCCTCCGTCTCATAAAAAACCTAATCCTGGGTTTGATTCAAACTCAGGATTGTGTTTTTTATATATGGGACAGAGGGAGTATGAAATAAGTGGTCGCATCTTTTGTTGAAGCAAAGGTCTCAATTCCCATTATAAAAAAATATTAATCATATGTAATGTTGATTTTTCTAAAGTTGTAGATGCCTTATATTTGGGACGGAGAGAGTGTTCTTTTCTTTACTCTTGTTATTATGAATGTGACTTTAATCATGCTGGGTCAGCCTGGGGCTTGATCCCAGTTATACCCTGGGCATATTGATGAATAACAGATTGGAAGCAAGTATGAGAGAAAAAACTGGATGTCCAACCCTAGTTAGTTGTAAAAATAAAACCAATTAATTGCTTAATTATATCCATTTTCTCAAAAATAGAACATGCTTCACATATCCCTTTTGCTATTGCAATGATTGTACTGAAAGGCATAAAGACTTCCCACGCGAAACTTCATGGAGTAAAGAAGAAGAAGAAGAAGAAGAAGAAGAAGAAGAAGAAGAAGAAACACAATGCAAGAAAAGGTTTGAGTCGCTTAAAGTTACCAAATGCGGCCAATTAATGAAGTACAAATAATGTGCAATAATGGATATTTGATCTTGATGAAGCATTGAGGCATCAACGATTTTCAGCCAGCATGCAAATCTAGCAGTTTCAATTGCTGTATATATCAGAGGTTCGAAGTCGTTCAAACAAAGAAGGATTACATTACACACCTGAATCAAGACCACCCGAATCAGGTCAGAGATATATGGCGGCGTTGATATTGTCTTGGCCGGAGAGATGGTTTGATCTTACCTTCGATTAGCTGCTGTTGCAGGGTTGGCATAGGTGGCATCGACACATATTTATGTCGGAGGAGAGAGAGAGAGAGAGAGAGAGAGAGAGAGAGAGAGAGAGAGAGAGAGAGAGGGTCATTGCTGAATTCTCCAGCTTCCTTGCAAGCTACCGTCTGTAATGCAAGGAATCTGGGAGCCTCTGCAGGTCTGCAATCCTTTGCTCCCGGCAACGGGTTCCTTGGCCATGGCAAACTTGGGAACTCAGGGTGTGTTTAGCCCTTGTTTAGTTCTAAACTTTTTTTTCAAACCTCCCCATCACATTAAAACTTTTCTATATACACAAACTTCCAACTTTTTCATCACATCGTTTCAATTTCAACCAGACTTCCAATTTTGACGTGAACTAAATACAGTTCACGCCAAAATTAGAAGTCTGGTTGAAATTGAAATGATGTGACGTAAAAGTTGAAAATTTGTGTGTGTAAGAAAGTTCTGATGTGATGGAAAAGTTGAAAGTTTGAAGAAAAAGTTTAGAACTAAACTCGGCCAGCAAAAAAAAAAAGGCCACACCTGCTCAGCGTGCGTTTGTTCAGCCAAGAAACGACGCAGTACAGTTAAACGGACCAAGAGAGGAGATTTCTCTCGTATGCTTTTCAAGCTATTAAACGGTGTTTTTTTAAAAAAAAATTGTAGGAAAGTTGTTTTTTAAAAAATCATATAATCTATTTTTTAAAATTAAAATAATTAATACTTAATTAATCATATGCTAATAACTGCTTTACATATCTTCTCAATCTTTTCCTTTCTTCTCCTCGCAAACACTCTCTAAGGCTGTGTTTATTTCACGCTAAAATTAAAAATTTGGTTGAAATTGAAACGATGTGACGGAAAAGTTAGAAGTTTGTATGTGTAGGAAAGTTTTGATGTGATGAAAAAGTTGGAAATTCGAAGAAAAACTTTGAAACTAAACACGGCATAAGTACAGTTGCAGAACTGATCCAACTACTAAAAAGAAAGAACTGACTCGGATGGACCAGATATGCATGGTTGACCTCAGTTTTGTTGTTGTTTTGTAGTGCCTTTTTTTAAATTATTTTGAAAAGAAAAACACATGCCAGATATATTTTACTACTTCCAGCTATATAATACTCCCTCTCTGTTTTTTAATAGATGATGCCGTTAACTTCTTCTCACATGTTTGACCATTCGTGACGGAGCGTGGGGCTCCTCACCGGGAGACCGCGCAGGCCTCCCTTTGCCGGTTCGGCCGGGGGCCCTGGGTGAGATTCTAAGCTCCTAGTCTGTGGAAAGTTCGCGAGAATGGAAAAAACACAAGACACGGGCGATGTATACAGGTTCGGGCCGCTGAGAAGCGTAATACCCTACTCCTGTGTTCTGGTGGATCTGTATATGAAGAAGCTACAAAGAGCTGGAAAGCCAGAGAGCCCTTACTCTAGAAACCCTCTTCTCCCTTTCTTTTCCTCTCCTGGGATCTACTCTCCAGATCCTCTCCCATCCTTTTCTTTTCCTCTCCTGGGATCTACTCTCCAGATCCTCTCCCCTCCTTTTCTTCTTTTCCCCTCAGTGGGCAAGGTCCTCCTTTTATATCTCAAGGGGATACCACATGCACCACCTCTACCTATCTCTCTTTTTGGTGGGGGACCCATCCCCTTTTTCACTAAAACTTGGCCCGCCTTTCCTTCATAAATGGGCGGAGATTTGTAATGGTTGCCGTCCGAATGACCTTCTGATGGGACGGCCCATACCTACCTCCACTTCCGCCGGAAGCAGGAGCGACGTGGGAACATGGCTGTCTGCCGACGACATGACCAGTGTCAGACCGGTCACAAATCGGTCATTCTTGTCCACCACGTGTCAGTTTATCAATCTGCATGTTCGCCCTTCTTCATACAATGTCTTGCTTGCAACGGTTGGGATGAAGCCTGGCATATATCTGACCGGGACCAACGTGTCATCTCCAGGAGCTAGCACGCTGGCTCCGGCTAGGGACAAGTGCCTGGAGGCTCTTATCCTGACGGGATGGGGCGAGGCGTGTGTCAGACCGCCTGTTGCCACCTAACCCACGATCTGACCGGTCTGTGACTGGTCACAGACCGGATAAACGAGCGCGCTGTACTGCGTTACATGCGGCGTGACGCGCTCGTTCAAACCGCAATAAATGCGGTTAGGTGAGCCCCGCCGTGCTCACCTAACCTATACACGCGGCGCAAAACCCACAAGGGGTCGGGGCGCCTCGGCCCTCGGGGCCGAAACGGGAGTGGTCCGATCCCTCGGGGAGACAAAGAGAGGGGCGGCCTCATCACCCTCGGGCCCGACCCCCCCCGAGGGGGTCAGGCCACGTGGGTGATTGCTCCTGCCCAAACCTCTAGTCATGATACTCCCGGTCCCATGTCACCGACAGTAGCCCCCGGCGTTATGCCAGGGCGATCGCCCTCCTCGAGGGAAGCGGTCGGGCGTGACGCCACTTACTTAAGCCTGGTGACAAGTGGGGCTGGTCTCTACAGTTGGGCAGAAACCCAACGGTCGCAAATCATACATATCGGCAATGGTAACTCGACTGTCAATAATGAGCGGCCTCTTCAAGGCTGCCACATTACTCGAGTAGCACATGAATCGGGACGAGCCGGTTCGTTTTGCCTGGAGATATGGTGATGTTGCTTCGGTCAGCGAGTGCAATTAACGCGCGCACAATATATTCCATCTCGACTGCCACAGCCGCATATCCACCTCATGCGCCGCAAGCGGGCAAATGGGATTAGTGGAAGCGTGGGCGCGAGAAACGAGGGAGCGAGATAGTGGGCGCGAGAAGCGAGGAGCCGGGCACAGCGTTGGCAAGGGTATAAAGACACCGAGGAAGAGATTTGCTTCCTTCCTCTCGCCATTATTCCCCTTGTCTTCGCCGCTTGCGCCCTAACTCCTTGTTTCCTGTGCCCTACCCTCGCCACACGCGCTCGCTCTCAAACATTTCTTCTTCCGGCGTCATGGCACGGGGCTCCGCTCCGCTCGATGGTAGCGTGCTGCCGCCTTCCCGCATCGTGAGCGAGAGGCAGGCCGGGCTGCCGCGCCGCTTCATGCCGGAATCTGCCACCGGCCGGGAGATAGTCACGCTGGGCGAGGGACGCCCGGCGCCACGTTACCCGGGGCGGTCCGTCTTCTTCCTCCCTTTTGCAATGGCAGGGCTGGTTCCGCCATTTTCTTCTTTCTTCATGGATGTTCTGGAGTTTTACGATCTCCAGATGGCGCACCTCACCCCAACGCGGTAATGACATTGGCCATCTTCGCGCACCTGTGCGAGATGTTCATCGGGGTGCGCCCATCCCTTCGGCTGTTCCGGTGGTTCTTCACCGTACAGCCGGTGTCGCCGCCGTCGGTGGTTGGTGGCTGCTACTTCCAGCCGCGGGGGCCGGTGCTGAACCGCTACATTCCCTGCGTCCTCCGCAAGAAGTGGGATGACTGGAAGAGCGACTGGTTCTACACCCCCCTCGCCGACGAAGCGCGCCTCCGACTTCCGAGCCAGCCCCCGGCGCAGGCCTCCAGCTGGCGGGCGCCGGTAGATCTGGGAGATGGCTATGACGCCGTCCTCAACCGCCTGGCGGGCCTGCGATCCCAGGGGCTCACAGGGGCCATGGTGTACGGCGACTACCTTCGTCGCCGGATCGCGCCACTCCAGCGGCGCGCCCGGGGCGCCTGGGAGTACACCGGGTCCGAGGACTGTATGGGGACCCACCGGGGGGTCAAATGGGACTGGGTCCCTGAAGACTTCAAGGTAATGATCCAACGGGTGCTGAATCTCAGCTCCGTGGAGGCATCCCTCATCCCCCAAGGAGTCCTCCCCCTCTGCAGCGATCCAGATCGCGCCAACATCCTGACCATCATGATGGCGGTCGGGGCCTCAGAGGAGCGAGCTCCTAAGGGCCTTGATGGTGCGAGCGGGAGTCGCAAGGGAGATCAATCTACCCCAGGAGGGGGTCGTGCTTCCGGGCCCCGTGATGGGGGCTCGGGGGGCTGCCGCCCTGCCGACGCCCGAGGGAAGAGGAAACAAGAGGGTACCTCCTCCCCATCTCCTCCCCGAGGGGGCGGGGTGGCGCGTGTCAGCAGCAGGCGCCCGGAGGGGGCCGCGCCGACGCCGCAGCCCGAGGGGGAGCGGAAGAAGAAGCGGCTCCGCAAGATGGGGGGGACAGAACCATCCCGGGGAAACCTTATTTCCCCTCCAAGGTGGTCGTTTAACCGACCCCCTCGCAGGTTCGTCCCACGCCCATTGTGGCTGTATTCATTCTCCCAACACGAGTTTTCATTCACCCATCTTGTTTGTCTTCTGGCTTTTCTTCTGCTTCAGTGAGATCCCGTCGCGTCCTTCTTGCCAATCCAAGTCCGGCCAATCTGAGGCCGAGAATGCAGCGACCACGGAGGCCCGGAGGCGGGAATCTGACCGGCGAGAAGCCGCGGATCGCCTACGGGAAGCCGAGGAGGCCGCCCGGGAGGCCGCCCGGGCTCGCCAGGCTGAGGAAGCCGCTCGGGAGGAGGCCAGACTCCGCCAGGCCGAGGCGACGACATCCTCCGAGGCAACCCGCGAAACTGACCGGCAAGAAGCCGCGGATCGCCTTCGGGAAGCCGAGGAAGCTGCCCAGGTGGCCGTCCAAGCTCGCCAAGCTGAAGAAGCCGCTCGAGAGGAGGCCAGACTTCGCCAGGCCGAGGCGACGACGACTTCCGGGGCAGCTCGCGATGAGGCCGCGGGCGCATCGCTTGGGCCCACTCCCTCGGGCGACACTCAGGACAAGCCAGGTCCGGGGGACGTCCCCGAGCCCGGAACGTCCATCGGCGGGCCGAGCCGCGCGGCATCCTCACTGAGGCGGCTCTCCCCAACGCCTTCCGCTGCCCCACTGAGCGCAGAGCCCCTTCTGCAGGCCTTGGCTGTCGCAAACACCACAGTGTTGGACGGGTTAAGTGCCCAGATGGAGGCCCTGCAAGCAGAGCGGGCGGAGCTCGACGCCGCATGGGCGCGTGTCGAAGAGGGGCGACGCTCAGTGGAGGCCATGGTGGAGGTGGGCCGCAA